TGAGGGACGGGTCCTCCTGACGGGAATAGGGCAACCGACGGTGAGGGACGGGTTCTCCTAATGGGAATAGGGTAACCGAGGGCTGAGGGATGGGTCCTCCTGACGGGAATACGGCAACCGAGGGCTGAGGGACGGTCCTCCTAATGGGAATAGGAAAAACGAGGGCTGAGTGACGGGTCCTCCTGACGGGAATAGGGCAACCGAGGGCTGAGGGACGTGTCTACCTGAAGGGAATAGGGCAACCGAGGGCTGAGGGACGTGTCTTCCTGATGGGAATAGGGCAACCGAGGGCTGAGGTACAGGAATACAGCAACCGAGGGCGGATGGACGGGTCCTCCTGACGGGAATAGGGCAACCGAGGGCTGCGGGACGGGTCCTCCTGACGGGGATACGGCAACTGAGGGCTGAGGGATGGGTCCTCCTGATGGGAATATGGCAACCGAGGGCTGAGGGACTGGTGCTCCTCATGGGAATAGCGCAACCGAGGGCCGAGGGACGGGTCCTCCTGACGGGAATAGGGCAAGCGAGGGCTGAGGGACGGGTCCTCCTGACGGGAATATGGCAAGCGAGGGCTGAGGGACGGGTCCTCCTGACGGGAATAGGGTAACCGAGGGCTGAGGGACGGGTCCTCCTGACGGGAATACGGCAACCGAGGGTTGAGGGAAGGGTCCTCCTGATGGGAATAGGGCAAACGAGGGCTGAGGTAGAGGAATACGCCAGCCGAAGGCTGATGGACGGGTCCCTTTGACGGGAATAGGGCAACTGAGGGCTGAGGGACGGGTCCTCCCGACGGGAATAGGGCAAGCGAGGGCTGAGGGACGGGTCCTCCTGACGGGAATAGGGCAACCGAGGGCTGAGGGACAGGTCCTCCCGACGGGAATAGGGGAACCGAGGGCTGAGGGACGGGTCCTCCTCACGGGAATAGGACAAGCGAGGGCTGAGGGACGGGTCCTCCTGACGGGAATAGGACAACCGTGGGCTGAGGGACGGGTCCTCCTGACGGGAATAAGGCAACCGAGGGCTGAGGGACGGGTCCTCCTGATGGGAATAGGGCAACGGAGGTCTGAGGGACAGGTACTCCTGACTGGAATACGGCAACCAAGGGCTGAGAGACGGGTCCTCCTGACGGGAGTAGGGCAACCGAGGGCTGAGGGACGGGTCCTCCTGACGGGAATATGACAACTGAGGGCTGTGGGACGGGTCCTCCTAATGGGAATAGGGAAGCGAGGGCTGAGGTACGGGTCCTCCTGACGGGAATAGGGCAACCGATGGCTGAGGGACGGGTCCTCCTGACGGGAATAGGGCAACCGAGGGCTGAGGGACGGGTCCTCCTGACGGGAATAGGGCAAGCGAGGGCTGAGGGACGGGTCCTCCTGACGGGTATAGGGCAACCGAGTGCTGAGGGACTGGTCCTTTTGACGGGAATAGGGCAACCGAGGGCTGAGGGACGGGTCCTCCTGATGGGTATAAGGCAACCGAGTGCTGAGGGACTGGTCCTTTTGACGGGAATAGGGCAACCGAGGGCTGAGGGACGGATCCTCCGGAGGGGAATACGGCAACCGAGGGCTGAGGGACAGGTCCTCCTGTCGGGAATAGGGCAACCGAGGGCTGAGGGACGGGTCCTCCTTACGGGTATAGGGCAACCGAGTGCTGAGGGACTGGTCCTTTTGACGGGAATAGGGCAACCGAGGGCTGAGGGACGGGTCCTCCTGATGGGTATAAGGCAACCGAGTGCTGAGGGACAGGTCCTTTTGACGGGAATAGGGCAACCGAGGGCTGAGGGACGGGTCCTCCTTACGGGTATAGGGCAACCGAGTGCTGAGGGACTGGTCCTTTTGACGGGAATAGGGCAACCGAGGGCTGAGGGACGGGTCCTCCTGACGGGAATAGGGCAACCGAGGGCTGAGGGACGGGTTCTCCTGACGGGAATAGGGCAACCGAGGGCTGAGGTACAGGAATCCGATAACCGAGGGCTGAGGAACGGGTCCTCCTGATGGGCATCGGGCAACCGAGGGCTGAGGGATGGGTCCTCCTGACCGGTATAGGGCAACCGAGGGCGGTGGGACGGGTCCTCCTGACGGGAATACGACAACCGAGGGCCGAGATACGGGTCCTCTTGATGTGAATAGGGCCACCGCGGGCTGAGGTACAGGAATCCGGCAACCGAGGGCTGAGGGACGGGTCCATTTGACGGGAATAGGGCAAATGAGGGCTGAGGGACGGGTCCACCTGACGGGAATAGGGCAACCGAGCGCTGAGGGACGGGTCCTACTTACGGGAATAGGGCAACCGAGGGCTGAGGGACGGGTCCTCCTGACGGGAATAGGGCAACCGAGGGCTGAGGGACGGGTCCTCCTGATGGGAATAGGGCAACCGAGGGCTGTGGGACGGGTCCTCCTGACGGGAATAGGCAATCGAGGGCTGAGGGACGGGTCCTCCTGACGGGAATAGGGCAACCGAGGGCTGAGGGATGGGTCCTCCTGACAGGAATAGGGCAACCGAGGGCTGAGGGACGGGTCCTCCTGACGGGAATAGGGCAACCGACGGTGAGGGACGGGTCCTCCTAATTGGAATAGGGTAACCGAGGGTTGAGGGACGGGTCCTCCTGACGGGAATACGGCAACCGAGGGCTGAGGGACGGTCCTCCTGAGGGGAATAGGAAATACGAGGGCTGAGTGTCGGGTCCTCCTGACGGGAATAGGGCAACCGAGGGCTGAGGGACGTGTCTACCTGAAGGGAATAGGGCAACCGAGGGCTGAGGGACGTGTCTTCCTGATGGGAATAGGGCAACCGAGGGCTGAGGTACAGGAATACGGCAACCGAGGGCGGATGGACGGGTCCTCCTGACGGGAATAGGGCAACCGAGGGCTGTCGGACGAGTCCTCCTGACGGGGATACGGCAACTGAGGGCTGAGGGACGGGTCCTCCTGATGGGAATATGGCAACCGAGGGCTGAGGGACTGGTGCTCCTCATGGGAATAGCGCAACCGAGGGCTGAGGGACGGGTCCTCCTGACGGGAATAGGGCAAGCGAGGGCTGAGGGACGGGTCCTCCTGACGGTAATATGGCAAGCGAGGGCTGAGGGACGGGTCCTCCTGACGGGAATAGGGCAACCGAGGGCTGAGGGACGGGTCCTCCTGACGGGAATAGGGCAACGGAGGGCTGAGGGACGGGTCCTCCTGACGGGAATACGGCAACCGAGGGCTGAGGGACGGGTCCTTCTGACGGGAATACGGCAACCGAGGGCTGAGGGACGGGTCCTCCGGACGGGTATAGGGCAACCGAGGGCTGAGGGACGTGTCCTTCTGACGGGCATATGGCAACCGAGGGCTCAGGGACGGGTCCTCCTACGGGTATAGGGCAACCGAGGGCTGAGTGACGGGTTCTCCTGATGGGAATATGACAACCGAGGTTCGAGGTTCGGGTCCTCCTGATGTGAATAGGGCCACCGAGGGCTGAGGTACGGGAATCCGGCAACCGAGGGCTGAGGGACGGGTCCAACTGACGGGAATAGGGCAACCGAGTGCTGAGAGACTGGTCCTTTTGAGGGGAATAGGGCAACCGAATGCTGAGGGACTGGTCCTTTTGACGGGAATAGGGCAACAGAGGGCTGAGTGACGGATCCTCCGGAGGGGAATACGGCAACCGAGGGCTGAGGGACAGGTCCTCCTGTCGGGAATAGGGCAACCGAGGGCTGAGGTATAGGAATACGGCAACCGAGGGCTGATGGACGGGTCCTCCTGACGGGAATAGGGCAACCGAGGGCTGAGGGACGGGTCCTCCTGACGGGCACAGGGCAACTGAGGGCTGAGGGACGGGTCCTCCTGACGGGAATAGGGCAACCGAGGGCTTAGGGACGGGACCACCTGACGGGCATAGGGCAAGCGAGGGCTGAGGGACGGGTCCTCCTGATGGGTATAGGGCAACCGAGGGCTGAGGGACTGGTCCTCCTGACGGGAATAGGGCAACCGAGGGCTGAGGGATGGGTCCTCCTGTCGGGAATACGGCAACATAGAGCTGAGGGACGGGGCCTCCTGTCGGGAATAGGGCAACCGATGGCAGAGGTACAGGAATTCGTTAACCGAGGGCTGAGGGACGGGTCTTCCTGACGGGAATAGGGCAAACGAGGGCTGAGGGACGTGTTCTCCTGACGGGAATAGGGCAACCGAGTGCTGAGGGACTGGTCCTTTTGACGGGAATAGGGCAACCGAGGGCTGAGGCACGGGTCCTCCTGACGGAAATATGGCAACCGAGGGCTGAGGGACGGGTCCTCCTGTCGGGAATAGGGCAACCGAGGGCTGAGGGACGGGTCCTCCTGACGGGAATAGGGCTACCGAGGGCTGACGGACGGGTCCTCGTGACGGGATTAGGGCTACCGAGGGTTGAGGAACGGGTGCTCCTGACGGGAATACGACAACCGAGGTCCGAGGTAGGGGTCCTCCTGATGTGAATAGGGCCACCGAGGGCTGAGGTACAGGAATTCGTTAACCGAGGGCTGAGGGACGGGTCCTCCTGACGGGTATAGGGCAACCGAGTGCTGAGGGACTGGTCCTTTTGACGGGAATAGGGCAACCGAGGGCTGAGGGACGGGTCCTTCTGACGGGAATACGGCAACCGAGGGCTGAGGGACGGGTCCTCCTGATGGGAATACGGCAATCGAGGGCTGAGGGACGGGTCCTCCTGTCGGGAATAGGGCAACCAAGGGCTGAGGTACAGGAATACGGCAACCGAGGGCTGAGGGATGGGTCCTCCTGAAGGGAATAGGGCAACCGAGGGCTGAGGGACGGGTCCTCCTGACGGGTATAGGGCAACCGAGTGCTGAGGGACTGGTCCTTTTGACGGGAATAGGGCAACCGAGGGCTGAGGGACGGGTCCTCCTGACGGGAATAGGGCAACCGAGGGCTGAGGGACGGGTCCTCCTGACGGGAATAGGGCAACAGAGGGCTGAGGGACGGGTCCTCCTGATGGGTATAGGGCAACCGAGGGCTGAGGGACGGGTCCTCCTGACGGGCATAGGGCAACCGAGGGCTGAGGGACAGGTCCTTCTGACGTGTATAGGAAAACCGAGGGTTGAGGGACGGGTCCTCCTGCCGGGAATAGGACATCTGAGGGCTGAGGGACAGGTCCTGACGGGAATAGGTCACCCGAGGGCTGAGGTACAGGAATATGGCAACCGAGGGCTGAGGGACGGGTCCTCCTGACGGGAATAGGGCAACCGAGGGCTGAGGGATTCGTCTTCCTGACAGGAATATGGCAGCCCACGGCTGAGGGTCCCGTCCCCACCACAGGTATTTTCCTGCGAAGGCTGATATGAGGGTCAGGGTTGGAATCTGTCCTCTGAGGTGGAGGTTTTCTCAGTCCTCCTCAATGTCTCCCTATTTATTCCCTACAGGGCCGGCACCTCCTCCCTTCAGTCGTGGGGATGCGGTGCTCAGCTCTCGGCAGCCATTTTCCTGCCAAGGCTGATATGAGGGTCAGGGTGGGAATTTGTAAGCAGTAGCTAAAAGTGTCTGTCTTTGTGTAAAACTAGAAAAGACAGGCGTGCCACCCCGAGGGCCTAGGAGTCTTCTGGCGACAGAGGAGGCTGAACCGGGGCTGCAGTCAGGGAGGCGGCACTGGGCTTCCTGGGGTGCCCGTCACAGGCAGGGCCTATTCACGACGGAGGAAGGGCCAAGGGTGGCCTGCAGCCCTCCCCTGGGACCAGACGTCTAGAGGGGCACCCCTGAAATCCGGCAGTGCTGGTTCAGGTGAGTATCTTCCTCTGGTTTATTTTTTTAAATAAATCCTCTCTTTCCCCGCGTTTTGCTCCCCCCACCCTTTCAGATCCTGCCATCGGGGCAGGCAGCTAGGTGGCCCTGTAGGGAATAAATAAGGAGACTTTGAGGAGAAACTGAGGGAACCCCCACCTCAGAGGACAGATTCCAACCCTATCCCTCATATCAGCCTTTGCGGGAAAATGGCTGCTGAGAGCTGAGAGACACATCACCAGGACCGAAGAAGGGAGGAGGTGCCGGCCCTGTAGGGAATAAATAGGAAGACTTTGAGGAGGACTGAGGGAACCCCCTCAAAGGACAGATTCCCACCCTGCTCCCAATATCAGCCCTGGCAGAGCTCCCCAGTTGGCTCAAGCTCAGCCGCAGCCCCTCAATTCTGAGTGAAGGGTGTCAGGGACGGGGAGGCCTTGGTCTGAGGGTCCCATGGCAAGTCAGCAGAGGCAGCCATTTTCCCTCAGTCCTCAACGTCTCCCTATTATTCCCTACAGGGCCGGCACCTCCTCCCTTAGGTCGTGGGGGTGTGTCGCTCATCTCTTGGCAGCCATTTTCCCGCCAAGGCTGATATGAGGGGCAGGGTTGGAATCTCTCCTCTGAGGTGGAGGTTCCCTCAGTCCTCATCGTCTCCTTATTTATTCGCTACAGGGCCGGCACCTCCTCCCTTAGGTCGTGGGGATGTGTCGCTCATCTCTTGGCAGCCATTCTCCCACCAAGGCTGATATGAGGGGCAGGGTTGGAATCTGTCCTCTGAGGTGGGGGTTCCCTCAGTCCTCAAAGTCTAACTGTTTATTTCCTACAGAGCTGGCACCTCCTCCCTTCGGTCGTGGGGATGCATCCCTCAGCTCTCGGCAGCCAATTTTTTGCCAAGGCTGGTTTGAGGGGCAGTGTTGAAATCTGTCCTCCTAGGTGGGGGTTCCCTCAGTCCTCAAAGTCTTACTGTTTATTCCCCACAGACCCGGCACATCCTCCCTTCTTTGGTCGTGGGGATGCGTCCCTCAGCACTCGGCAGCCATTTTCCTGCCAAGGCTGATATGAGGGTCAGGGTGGGAATCTGTAAGCAGTAACTAAAAGTGTCTGTTTTTGTCTAAAACTAGAAAAGGCAGGCGCACCACACCGAGGGCCTAGGAGTCTTCTGGCAACAGAGGAGGCTGAACCGGGGCTGCAGTCAGGGAGGCGGCACTGGGCTTCCTGGGGAGCCCGTCACAGGCAGGGCCTCTTCAGGAGGCAGGAAGGGCCAAGGTTGGCCTGCAGCCCTCCGCCAGGACCAGACGTCTGCAGGGGCTCCCCTGAAAGCCGGCAGTGCTGGTTCAGGTGAGTATCTTCCTCTGGTTTATTTTTTTAAATAAATCCTCTCTTTCCCGCCTTTTGCTACCCCCACCCTTTCAGATCCTGCCATCGGGGCGGGCAGCTAGGTGGCCCTGTAGGGAATAAATAAGGAGACTTTGAGGAGGACTGAGGGAACCCCCACCTCAGAGGACAGATTCCAACCCTACCCCTCATATCAGCCTTAGTGGGAAAATGGCTGCCGAGAGCTGAACGACGCATGCCCAGGACCGAAGAAGGGAGGAGGTGCCAGCCCTGTAGGGAATAAATAGGGAGACTTTGAGGAGGACTGAGGGAACCCCCTCAGAGGACAGATTCCCACCCTGCTCCCCGTATCAGCCCTGGCAGAGCTCCCCAGTTGGCTCAAGCTCAGCCGCAGCCCCCTCATTTCTGAGTGAAGGGTATCAGGGACGGGGAGGCCTTGGTCTGAGGGTCCCATGGCAAGTCAGCAGAGGCAGCTGCCTCTGGTTGACAGAGGGAAGATTCCCAGGCCCTGCTGGGGATAAGAGGGAGGACTGAAGTGTCATATGTGCTTCAGAGCAGATGTGAGGCTGCCCCGCCTGTCCCCGTGGTAGAGTATGGGATGTGGCTGCCTCCTCACTACCTCCCTCTGCTCTCAGGGATGTGGAGGTTGCTCTGAGGTTTCCTCAGGCCGGCAGAGTGGTAGGGGATGTGGCCCGGTCTGAGAAAATGTGACAACGCTAATAGAATTCTCAGTGGGCCACAAACCCCAGAACTGTGGGGCTCTGGATGTCTCGCCAGCCCCAGCTGCAATCTTTAGCCAGAGGGGCTCTGTTGCTGCTGCTGCTCCTTTTTTTTGTTTGTTTTGGGAAACGTTTCTGTCTTGTCACCCAGGCTGGCGTGCAGTGGCATGGTTTCAGCTCACTGCAACCTCCACCTCCCGGGTTCAAGTGATTGTCCTGCTTCTGCCTCCAAGGCAGCTGGGATTACAGGTGTCCACCACCGTGCCTGGCTGATTTTTGTATTCTCAGTAAGACAGAAATACATGTTGTCCAGGCTGCTGTCGATCTTCTGACCTTAGGTGGTCCACCCGCCTTGGCCTCCCAAAGGGCTGGGATTACAGGCATGAGCCAGAGTGCTCAGCCCTCTCTCACTTCTTCTTGCAGGGGGTCCAGGAACCAGGAGTTGAAGACCAGGGTCTGAGTTCCACTTCTAAACTCAGCACAGCAGAGGAGGCCCAGGCAAAGCTAGGAGTCAAGGTGAGTGCACACCCTGACAGTGTACCAAGGGCCCTACTCCCACAAACAGAGCAGACATGGCAGCACCCAGTCCTAACCACCTACTGCCATTCCTGGTGCCCCAGGCTCTGCCAGCCAACTGTGCCCTGAGGTGCTTTCTCACATTCTCCGACAGGTTCCCACCGAGCAAACGCCCTAGGAAGACAGGCGATCTGTGAGGCCTAGAGTACCATCTTAAGAGAAGGAGAGTTGTAAGGCAGCCTTTGTCAGAGCCATCATGGGTGAGTTGCTCAGCTGAGACCGCTCACACGGTCCCTATCTCCCTCAGGCCTGTGGGACCCCATCATTCCCATTTGTGCTCAGTCACACGTTTACCTGCTGCTCCTGAACAATATTCATCATGCCTCTCTTTCCAAACCTTTCATGCCCCAGCTTTGAGCAAGACTTCCAGAGCCCAATTTTAATACTGGAGTTGGTAGATTCACAGGATCCCACAGACGAGGAACAGGAGGAAACCTCCTCCATTTTCTCTTCCTCTTTCTACTTTTAATTCTCCTCCTCTTCCTCCTACTCCTCCTCCTCATCTTCTTCCTTCTCCTCATTCTCATTTTTTTCTCTGATTTTGGATGTTCAAGCAGACAAGGAGATGCCTGCTGCTGGGATGCCGAGTCTTCTCCAGAGTTCTCCTGAGAATCCTCAAAGTCCACCCGAGGGGCCTGACCAGTCTCCTCTCCAGAGTCCTGTGAGCGCCTTCATCTCCTCCACTTCATTGAGTCTTCAGAGTCCTCCTGAGAGTCCTCAGAGTCCACCTGAGGGGCCTGTACAGTCTCCTCTCCTGAGTCCTGTGAGCTCGGCCTCCACTTCACTGAGCCTTCCCCTGAGTTCCCCTGAGTATCCCCAGAGTCCTCCTGAGGGGCCGGCCCAGTATCCTCTGCAGAGTCCTGTGAGCTCCGTCATCTCCTCCACTTCATTGTGTCCTCAGAGTCCTCCTGAGAGTCCTCAGAGTCCACCTGAGGGGCCTGTACAGTCTCCTCTCCTGAGTCCTGTGAGCTCCTCCTCCACTTCACTGAGTCTTCCCCTGAGTTCCCCTGAGTATCCCCCGAGTCCTCCTGAGGGGCCTGCCCAGTCTCCTCTCCAGAGTCCTGTGAGCACCTTCATCTCCTCCACTTCATTGAGTCCTCAGAGTACTCCTGAGAGTCCTCAGAGTCCACCTGAGGGGCCTGTACAGTCTCCTCTCCTGAGTCCTGTGAGCTCCTCCTCCACTTCACTGAGTCTTCCCCTGAGTTCCCCGGAGTATCCCCAGAGTCCTCCTGAGGGGCCTGCCCAGTCTCCTCTGCAGAGTCCTGTGAGCACCTTCATCTCCTCCACTTCACTGAGTCCTCAGAGTACTCCTGAGAGTCCTCAGAGTCCACCTGAGGGGCCTGTACAGTCTCCTCTCCTGAGTCCTGTGAGCTCCTCCTCCACTTCACTGAGTCTTCCCCTGAGTTCCCCGGAGTATCCCCAGAGTCCTCCGGAGGGGCCTGCCCAGTATCCTCTGCAGAGTCCTGTGAGCACCTTCATCTCCTCCACTTCATTGAGTCCTCAGAGTACTCCTGAGAGTCCTCAGAGTCCACCTGAGGGGCCCGTACACTCTCCTCTCCTGAGTCCTGTGAGCTCCTCCTCCACTTCACTGAGTATTCCACTGAGTTCCCCTGAGTATCCCCAGAGTCCTCCTGAGGGGCCTGCACAGTATCCTCTGCAGAGTCCTGTGAGCACCTTCATCTCCTCCACTTCACTGAGTCCTCAGAGTACTCCTGAGAGTCCTCAGAGTCCACCTGAGGGGCCTGAACAGTCTCCTCTCCTGAGTCCTGTGAGCTCCTCCTCCACTTCACTGAGTCTTCCCCTGAGTTCCCCTGAGTATCCCCAGAGTCCTCCTGAGGGGCCTACCCAGTCTCCTCTCCAGAGTCCTGTGAGCACCTTCATCTCCTCCACTTCATTGAGTCCTCAGAGTCCTCCTGACAGTCCTCAGAGTCCACCTGAGGGGCCTGTACAGTCTCCTCTCCTGAGTCCTGTGAGCTCCTCCTCCACTTCACTGAGTCTTCCCCTGAGTTCCCCTGAGTATCCCCAGAGTCCTCCTGAGGGGCCTGTCCAGTATCCTTTGCAGAGTCCTGTGAGCACCTTCGTCTCCTCCACTTCATTGAGTCCTCAGAGTCCTCCTGAGAGTCCTCAGAGTCCACCTGAAGGGCCTGTGCAGTCTCCTCTCCTGAGTCCTGTGAGCTCCTCCTCCACTTCACTGAGTCTTCCCCTGAGTTCCCCTGAGTATCCCCAGAGTCCTCCTGAGGGGCCTGCCCAGTCTCCTCTCCAGAGTCCTGTGAGCACCTTCGTCTCCTCCACTTCATTGAGTCCTCAGAGTACTCCTGAGAGTCCTCAGAGTCCACCTGAGGGGCCTGTACAGTCTCCTCTCCTGAGTCCTGTGAGCTCCTCCTCCACTTCACTGAGTCTTCCCCTGAGTTCCCCTGAGTATCCCCAGAGTCCTCCTGAGGGGCGTGCCCAGTATCCTCTGCAGAGTCCTGTGAGCACCTTCGTCTCCTCCACTTCATTGAGTCCTCAGAGTCCTCCTGAGAGTCCTCAGAGTCCACCTGAGGGGCCTGTGCAGTCTCCTCTCCTGAGTCCTGTGAGCTCCTCCTCCACTTCACTGAGTCTTCCCCTGAGTTCCCCTGAGTATCCCCAGAGTCCTTCTGAGGGGCCTGCCCAGCCTATTTTCCAGAGATTTGTGTGCTCCTCCTCCTCCAGTTCATTGTGTCTTCTCCAGAGTTCTCCCAAGAGCCCTCAGAGTCCTCCTGAGGGGCCTGCACAGTCTCCTCTCCTGAGTCCTGTGAGCTGCTCCTCCACTTCACTGAGTCTTCCCCACAGTTTCCCTGAGAGTCCTCGGATTCCTCCTGAGGGGCTGTCCCAATCTCCTCTCCAGAGTCCTGTGAGCTCATTCTCCTCCTCCTCCCACTCCTCCCCCTCCTCCCGCTCCACCGCCTCCTCCTCCTCTTCCTCCTCCTCCCCCTCTTCCTCCTCCTTCCCCTCTTCCTTCTCCCCCTCCTCTTCCTCCTCCTCTCCGTCCTCCTCCTCCTCTTCCCCCTCCCCCTCCTCCTCCTTTTCCTTCTCTTCCTCCTCCTCCTCCTCCTCCTCCAGTTCATTGAGATTTCTCCAGAGTTCTTCTGAGAGTCCTCAGAGTCCTCCTGAGGGGCCTGCGCAGTCTCCTCTCCTGAGTCCTGTGAGCTCCTCCTCCACTTCACTATGTCTTCCCCCAAGTTCCCCTGAGAGTCCTCAGTGTCCTCCTGAGTGGCCTGCGCAGTCTCCTCTCCTGAGTTTTGTGAGCTCCTTCTCGTCAATTTCACTGCGTCTTTCCCTGAGTTCCCCTGAGAGTCCTCCTGAGGGGCCTGCCGAGTTTGCTCTCCCAAGTTTGGAGTGCTCCTTCTCCTCCACTTCACTGAATCTTCTCCAGAATTTCCCTGAGAGCCCTTCCGAGGGGCCTGCCCAGTCTCCTCCCCGGAGTCCTATGAGCTCCTTCTCCTCCCTCTCTTCCAGTCCACTGTGTCTTCTCCAGAGTTCCCTTGAGAGTCCTCAGAATCCTTCTGAGGGGCCAGCCCAGTCTGCTCTCCAGAGTTTGTCCGCTTCCGTCTTCTCTGACTGTTTGAGTCTTCTCCAGAGTTCTCCTGAGTGTCCCCAGAGTCCTCCTGAGGGCCCTTCCCAGTCTGCCCTCCACGGTCCTGTGAGCTCCTCCTTCAGTCCATTGAGTTTTCCCCCGAGTTCCCCTGAGTGTCCCCAGAGTCCTCCTGAGGGCCCTTCTCAGTCTGCTCTTCAGGGTCCTGTGAGCTCCTTCTCCTTCAGTCCGTTGAGTCTTACCCCGGGTTCCCCTGTGTGTCCCCAGAGTCCTCCTGGGGGACCTTCCCAATCTGCCCCCCAGGGTCCCGTGAGCACCTTCTCCTCCTGTCCATTCCGTCTTCCCCTGAGTTCCCCTGAGTGTCCCCAGAGTCCTCCTGAGGGGCCTTCCCAGTCTGCTCTCCAGGGTCCTGTGGGCTCTTTCTACTCCTCCACTTTATGGAACCCATCCAGTGAAGAGTCCAGCAGCCCAGCAGATGAAGATACAAGAACCTCAGACACCTTACTAGACAGTGAGTCCTTGACAGATAATGAGTCCCTGACAGCCACTGAGCCCTTGGTTGCTCATACACTGGATGAAAAGGTGGATGAGTTGGTGCGGTTTCTTCTTCTCAAATATCAAGCGAAGGAGCCTGTCACAAAGGCAGAGATGCTGACGATTTTCGTCAGCAGGTACAGGGGCTACTTTCCTATGATCTTCAGGAAAGCCCGTGAGTTCATAGAGATTCTTTTTGGCATTGCCCTGACAGAAGTGGGCCCCGACCACTCCTATGTCTTTGTAAATACATTAGACCTCACCTGTGAAGGGAGTCTGAGTGATGAGCAAGGCATGCCCCAGAACCGACTCCTGACACTTATTCTGAGTATAATCTTCATAAAAGGCTCCTGTGCCTCTGAGGAGGTCATCTGGCATGTGCTGAATGGAATAGGGGTATGTGCTGGGAGGGAGCACTTCATCTTTGGGGAGCCCAGGGAGCTCCTCACTAAAGTTTGGGTACAGGAACATTACCTGGAGTACCGGGAGGTGCCCAACACTTCTCCCCCACGTTATGAATTTCTTTGGGGTCCGAGAGCCCATTCAGAAATCAGCAAGAGAAAAGTAGTAGAGTTTTTGGCCATGCTAAACAATACCGTCCCTCGTTCCTTTTCACCCTCATACAAGGATGCTTTGAAACATCTAGAAGAGAGAGCCCAGGCCACAATTGACACCACAGATGACTCCACTGTCACAGACGGTGCAAGCTCCGATGTTTCCCAGCCCGTCTTCCCCTGAGCAAAGTCTAAGGCAGAATCTTCCTTTTGAGTGTGAACAGGGCAGGCGAGTTTCTATGCCATGGAGGGCCCGGGTGAAGCTGGCGAGAACAGAGTGTTTGCGTTTCTGTTCCATATGGTAGTTAAGGGATTTACCTATTTTACTTTGGGGTATTTTTCAAATGCTTTTCCTTTAATAACAGGTTTAAATAGCTTCAGAAACTTAGTTTATGGAGTTTATGAATATTAGTCACACATGTGCTGCTGTTTAACTGGTTGAGGGGTAACGGTTTGATAGTTTGTAAAACACACACACACACACACACACACACACACACACGATTGGGAAAACCTGCCTTATCTGTGGTCTGTCACACTTTAATATGGTATTACTGTAGCAATTTTCTTTAAACTGTAAAAGAACTCTGGAGTTGAATAGTGGAACAAAACAAAGGATTGTTAATATTTGCATTTCCTCATACCCTTTAGTCTGCTGTTCTTGAAAATTAAAGATACGTACCTGGTTTTCTTGGCTTGTTTAATAAAGTAGCAGAGATTAAATGATAATAAATAAAAATATCACGGACTCCTTTATTTGACGAACATTATATCAGCATTTGCTCATGGAAGTTACGTTTAGTAGTGAAGTTACTATTAAAAGCAAGACTTACACCTACTCATAAAACGGTAGAGTATAGGTACAGAAGCCATATCGGGAACTTGGTAAGATTTTTCTCTTCAATCTAAAGAGTAAGTTTAAAAAGGAGTGGGGCGGTGCGACTCCAGTTGGAGCCTTCAAACAAAAAGGCCCTGAGCTAAGGCAGTTTTGGGCTTCGGGAAACTGCACTTGCTTCTGTGGGAGCTGATTTTTATGAAGCTGGGTGGTGGCGGGGCCCAGACTCTCAGAAGGTGAGAGAAAAGCCTGGAATGGAAAGCTACTTGAGCAGTTCCCTCTGGGTGAAGGATGAGGCAGAGAGGAGTCTCCACATGGGGAAGTAATGGGAGGTGTCCTGCAGCTCTTGTGCACTTGAACACAGTACTTTTGTCCAGCCCCAGGACTTTCCCACGTTATAGCACTGTCCTTTCGATCTCCCGTGTGCTCTCGTGCAACTATGGAACCTGGCCTGCTGACTAACTTGTCACCGTGTTTCCCACTCTGAAGGCTGTACCCAGCTCTCAGTGCCAGACGCCATTGACATCTACCCTTCCCCTAACATAGACCACTCTCTGTCTCTGCAGAAGTTCCCTGACTGATCCATCCCTCTCCCTGGCTCCTCTGTGATAACAGACTTTGATGTGAATATACACTTTGAATAGTGACATTTCCATACATATGCTGGGCATCTTCACCACATTCTCAACATATTTCCAAATAGACTGCAGAGTAAAATCTAATTTGTCACACAATATACTTGTTTTAGGGATGTAAGCCTAAGGTAGATATAGCGTATTTGAAATCATCGTAATATTTGATATTTGTAGTAGGATTTTAATAAAATACATTATTTGAAACGGGGCGCTGAACCCAAATACAGATGAATGAGCTTTTGTAGGTGATCAAATGCCAATCTTTCCTTAATAAACTTTGTAGATAAGGAAAGACTGTAGAAATCACTTTGCAAATGATCTACAAGAAGACGAATTTCTTAAAAAACAAAAAAATCTTGAAACCTGCCTCGGAGGTAACAAGGGTACTTTGTGGACATGCCAGCTCTGATGAGAAAAGAAAGTTATAGTTAAACATCCTTCCCCTGTCTCTTTTCTGTGTACCTGCCCCACAGGAAAATCTTTTTTTTGCAGTGTGCCACAGGCACATGTATAGCTGTTCAGGAATGTTCCATCGTATGGAGGGTGGCCGAGGCTCACAGGTAGATTATTTATCATACACCAAAAATAGGAGAGTATTGTCAGCCTAAAGAAATTATATAGCTTATTAAAGGACAGTGCAAAGTGCTATTGAGGGAATAAGGTTGACTCTCCCTGCCAAGATTTACAAAATTGTTTTAAAACAGGATGTAATCTTGTGTTTGAAACCACGAGTCACTTTGTTGGTGCAAGAAAATGTTGGAAGATTTCAAGGCTATGCTGACATTCCCAGAAATAATTCCAAGAAATGAAGAAACTGTCATAAATCATAGTAGTTGGTTTTAATTGAGCACCATAATAACATATGGGAGAAACTACAAGTGCCCATTTTCATTTGTCTACCTCACCTTCTTGGGTGGTTCATTTATAGTTAGAAGCCAGTGCATCATTCCCGTGCTTTTGTTTCTGTTGAGCAGTTAACATGTGTTGTGATGTGGAGCTACAAGTGGAAAGCAGCTTGGATTCTTGGGTCAGGCGAAAGCCAGGATGGACTGTGTATTAGTCTATTATACCATAACAGAATACCACAAACTGGGTGACTGAAAAAACAGAAATTATTTTCTCACATTTCTGGAGGCTAAATATCTAAGGTGAAGATGTTGGCCAGTTTGATTTCTTCCCTGGCCTCTCCGTGGCTTGCTGATTGCTACTTTCTCAGTGAATTCTTACATGGTTGTTCCTTAGTCTGTGTGTCTGTATCTTAATCTGCTCTGCTTATGAGGACACCAGTCATATTGAATATGATCCTAACCGTAAAATCTCATTTTACCTTAATTGCCTCTTCAAAGGTTCTGTCTCCAAATACGATGACATTCTGTAGTACTGGGGTTAAGACGTGGATATATCATTTTGGGGAGAGGGGGCACAATTCAGCCCATAACACCCTGCCAACTCAAACCGGAATTTATGTGCACAAAAATCAACTTGTGTTAAGCCATTTAACTTTCAGGAGATTTTTTTCTGTTCCATCAGCTTGCTTTCACTTAATCTGACTACTACAGTACTCCTCTTGCTTTTCTTAGGGTTATCTCAGTATTTTAGTTAAAAGTAAATAGCACATGTATTTTTGTGGCAAAAAATTCCAAAAATACATAGAAATTGCATTTTTTCCTTTAAAATTTTCAAAATTCAGCCTCCTACTCAGAAGTTGCCACAAGTAACAATGTGGCTGTGTAAATTTTGAAAGATGATTTTTGATTTCTGGCTTTTATAAAGATAGATGTGCTATTTTGTATATACACATGTATGTATACACACACGTATGTAATGATATAATGATATACATATAGATCTGTGACACTTGCCTTTGCCACTATTATAGGTTCAATTGCCTCTTCTGCAAAATTCTACATTTTTAAAATTGAAATGTGACATGACTTGTAGATAGGATTATTTCAAAGGCAATCAAGTTAAAATGAGGTTATTAATGCTGGCCTCAATGGAAATCACTAAAAAGGGGATATGTAACAAACCTACACTTGCATCTCTGAATTTAAAATTAAATAAAAATTTTAGATACATACATCAAATTTAACTGCTCTGTAAAGTTTTATTTATTTAGGCAAATATCTGTGGGTTTCCACCTTGAGCTCTGAGGTTTGATACAACAATCCTGGCTATGAGCAGAGGCCATCTGCCCCTGGGATGTGGCGACAAAGCTAAGGAAGGAAGTCAGCACATGAACAGCTGAATTGATCCTGGCCATAGTGGGTGGAGAGAACTCTAATCCTCAGGGAAATCTCTGGCAAAGCCACAAGTCAACCTTTTTTGGAATCTTAGGGCTCCTGAATCCTTCTGAGGGTCCTGTCAGGAGTAAGAATTGTTGAAAGGAAATATGCGGAGCTCTTATCCATGTGGAAAGGGAGACAGTCCTCTACGCCTATCAGGTCAGCAACCTGGCAATGCCACGAAGTCAGTAAAGTGTTTGTGGACCTGGTCAGGGTGTCTATCATCAACACAACATCCCTCCGTCATGACTTTCTGGAATAGAACTGCTCGGGTTATATGTCTTGAAATCTCAGAGTTCCAATGGTCAGCAGGAGGACTGGTCAAGTAAGAGGGGGAATAAATCCATCATCGTCCCGGGTAGCCTTTCCCTAGCTACTGTTGAGATCCAAGTCTTACCCTCAAAAAGCAAAGGCTTGTGAAAGCAGCTAGGCCTTCTATGGCTGAGACAAGGGGAAGAGAGGAAGTGCCATTTCGTCTGTTCCTCTTTGACTCATATCATCTCACTCCTCTTGTTACTGAAGTGACCAATGACCCCGACCTCTTTCAGTTCTTTCAACTCTAGCCTTACTGATGCTCTGATTTACTCATACTGCTGACCCACTAAAAGATAATCTATACGAAGACTTATTTATTATTCTGTGCATTTCTGTGTTTTTGAAGTATTTATAATAAACATTTTTAAAGTAGCTTTTGAATTTCCCTGTAATTGCGTTTTTTTTTAATAATATGAAAAAGGGTTCCACTTACGTTAGGTTTTTTATATGGATATTGAGTTATTCCACTGATAGTATTTTAACAAGACAGTCTCCTGTTCTAAAGCTGCAACATTTTTAAATCAGTTAAGCTTGCATTTAGACATGTTTTGTTGGTTTTGTTTTTCAGGACTTTCCATTCAGTTCCATTGGTCTATCTGTTAATCCATACACCCAAATCTCAAACTCTTTGTTACAACGGCTTGTTTGTAATTCTTACTATCTGGTGGACAGATTGCTCGTTTTCAAGAGTGCTTTGACTATGCTTTGCTATTTGCATGTCTTCATAGTTTAGAGCCAGGTGATTCAGTCCGGGCGCGGTGGCTCACGCCTGTAATCCCAGCACTTTGGGAGGCTGAGGTGGGTGGATCACGAGGTCAAGAGATCGAGACCATCCTGGTCAACATGGTGAAACCCCATCTTTACTAAAAATACAAAAAATTAGCTGGGCATGGTGGCGCGTGCCTATAATCCCAGCTACTCAGGAGGCTGAGGCAGGAGAATTGCTTGAACCCAGCAGGCGGAGGTTGTGGTAAGCCGAGATCGCTCCATTGCACTCCAGCCTGGGTAACAGGCTAGCGAAACTCCATCTCAAAAAAAAAAAAAAAAAAAAAGAATCAGGTAATTCATACATGCCTTCATGTCCAAAGGCATTTTGTTGTTTTGATTTGGGATCACGATTGAACTATAGATTCCATTTTAACACAAACTATTGGAACTTCATTCCCATGAATTATTTTATTTTATGTTCTTGTGGGTCTTCATTAATATTTTAAATAACATTTTCACAGTTTTTCTGTAATGTTTTAATTTTTTTGTTTAAAAATTTTTAATGTACTTAATGTTTGGAATGATAGGTTAGAGGTTATATTTTATTTCTCTTTCTTTCTTTCTTGTTTCTTTCTCTCTCTCATTCTTTCTGTCTTTTGTTCCTTTTTTGATAGAGTCTCACTCTGTCGCCCAGGCTGGAGTGGAATGGTGTTATCTCAGCTTACATCCTCCACCTTCCAGGTTCGAGCAGTTCTTCTGCCTCAGCCTCCCGAATACATGGGATTACAGGCACCCACCATCATGCCTGGCTAATTTTTGTATTTTTGGTAGAGATGGGATTTCACCATGTTGGTCAGGCTAGTCTTGAACTCCTGACCTTTGGCCTCCCAAAGTGCTGGGATTACAGGCATGAGCCACCGTGCCCATCCTTATTTTCAAAGTCATTTTTGCCACAAGAAAATAAAGTTCATTTTTTTCTATGTTGACTTTATACCTAGGAAACTTATGTATTTTCATCTATCGATAAGCTTGGCCGTTCCACTGTTGCCGATGGTATGCCCATTTGAGCATAGACTCTGCTGCTGCTGCCCCAGTGAAGCACTTTAGACAACAACCTCCATCAGAGTGTTGTCA